CCCCCCCCCCCTCGCAGTACTGCAGGCGGGGGACGGGTGGCATTATTTTTTTTTTAGCTTTAGCTAAAAAAAAAAAATAAAGCGAAGCTCGCCTCGAGAAGCGCTAGCTTGCTAACCCACCTCTTCAATCTTTCCCCCCCCCCCCTGCAGTACTGCAGGGGGGGATAACAAAAAAAAAAATCGAGTCCTCCCCCTTGAATACTTGTTATCGCCTACCTTCAACCGGCCCACCCGTTATTTTTCCCCCCCCCTGCAGTACTGCAGGGCGGGGGGACGGTGGTTTCGGTCGGGGGATTAGGAGGGGGGAGAGAACTAGGGCTTCAGCCTTAGTAATATGAGGGGGCCTTAAGCCCCCCTGCTAATAAGAAGGTAAGGGTAAGGGTGACACCTTACCCTTACTGGGTGCCGACCCCTCCTACGGGGGGGGCGGGGTTAAGGGTGACCAAAAATAAAAAATTTTTTTTATTTATTATGAACAGTTTATTCTTGATAATCGATAGTTTAATAAATATTTATTTCTTTATTATGCAGAATATTAAATTCTTCTTATTCTACATTCTAACTGAGGCTTATACATTTAGTACTAATATAGGTTTTCATTGACTTTTACTAATAGTTTATTACTTATTTTTAATAATATATTTATATATGAGGAATTACTTAAAAGATTTATGCTCTCCTCCCACATCCACGTCCCCCCGCCCTGCAGTACTGCAGGGGGGGGAGGAAAAATATGATAATGGTCAAAGTTCTTTAACAGTGGTTAATCATCCTTTTTTAGCTAAATATAATCTTTTTAATTTTAGATCTAAGTATCCAGTTTTTTTTTGACTTTATATGATAGTACTCTTACTAAATTTATGATTTATTTTTTTTAAAGCTTATTGTTTAGGGGGATTTCTATATCTTTTTTTTAATGTTCTAGGACACTTGTTCTTATTAAGTAATTTGCTAAGGCTTAGCAAATGATTTAATAAAAAACCAGAACTAGTTGAACATGAGCTAAAAATAAAGATGGATTATTTTTTATTCTTGTTTGTTTTTATAGTAATTCCGGTTTATCTTTGAATATATATTGATAAGACTAAGTCTAGTGATTATACGGGTAGACTGTTTTTTTGGGGGATAGTATGTGTAATTATATATTATGTATTACAATTTATTTTCATGGATAAAACTGAAGACAAGAGGGTAAAATTTGTAGTTAGGCTAAATTTAACTATGTGCATAGTATGCATAATATCTGTATTACAGAGAGTAATCTCCCTTGAAGACATTAATATGTTATATTATTCTATTTATCTTGAACCAACGACAATGCTGCATTTGAAATCTCCTCAACATATTCTAGATACTCTTATACCAGCAGGACCAGCTCGACCTCAGGATATTGATCCTGAACTACTCAATCTCAGGAGGGCTGCTACTAATGCTAGTCTCCGCCGTCAAAGTAGGTTTATTGAAGAGCTAGTGATGAATACCAATTGGGCAGAGACCCTTATAGAAAACATCTTTGGTCCTTATGATATACAAACTACACATACCTTTAATCCTAATGGAAGGGGGACTATGATTAAGAGTATTTATCATCGCAGTCAGGAGACTCCACAGGAGTTCGTTAGATATTCTTTCACTCCGGGGATTTGATCTAATATTCGAACACGGTAGTTTTTTGGATTTAGTAACTTACTTGCTACTGTAAGTAAGGATTTTATTTTTATAATCAGGAGATAACAGTATACGGAGCGGGTTATCACTAAGATGAGCGGGGGAGGGGCTCATTTTTTTTTGCCTATATGTCCAATGCCTATATATCCAAGATGTCCAATGCCTATATATCCAAGATGTCCAATGCCTATATATCCAAGTTAAGATTAGTTTACTTTTTTACAATGTAAAAGCAAAAAATACAAATACTAATGAATATTACCTTAATACTTTTTTTAATAGGAATTTTAGGTTTCGTATTAAATAGAAAAAATATTATATTAATGCTTATTTCAATTGAAATAATGCTATTAGCTATAACATTCCTAATATTGGTAAGTTCACTTAATATGGATGATATAATCGGCCAAACTTATGCTATTTATATAATAGTTGTAGCAGGTGCAGAATCTGCTATAGGTTTAGCTATTCTAGTTGCTTTCTATAGATTAATTAACTCTCCAGTTAAAAAATCCAAGATCAAATTATTCGGGGGACCCCGCCCCCCCTTCGGGGGGGCGGGGGCCCTATTTACATTTTAATTTATTACCTGTAGTTTCATCATGTAATTTAATCCAATCAAGGAATTATTCTAGTGTGCTACACAGGAAAATAGGTTTAAATCCTTCATTTATAACTGGGTTCTCGGATGCTGAAGGTTCTTTTGTTGTAACTATTTTAAAGAACCCTAGATATAAAATAGGATGAAATGTACAAGCTAGATTTCAAATAAAATTAAACGAGAAAGATAGAGCTTTATTATTATTAATTCAAAATTATTTCGATAATATTGGATATATATCCAAAATAAATGATAGATCTACGGTTGAATTTAGAGTTAGTGATATAACTAGTTTAAATAATATAATTATACCTCATTTTGAAAAGTATCAATTAATAACTAATAAATATGGAGATTTGGTGATATTTAAACAAATTGTATCATTAATGTTAGAAAACAAACATACTACTTTAGAAGGATTAAAAGAAATCTTGGAACATAGAGCATCTCTTAATTGAGGTTTATCTAAAACTTTAAAGGAATCTTTTCCTTCTATAATACCAGTTAAAAGGGTAAAAATTGAGAATAATATATTAAGTAATTTATCTTCGCTACCCCTCCTTTCAGGAGGGGGGAACTGAGTAGCTGGCTTCTCATCAGGAGAAGCCAATTTTTTTATAACTATGTCTGGTACTAAAGTATGGTTACGTTTTTCTATAGCTCAAGATTCAAGAGATATATTGTTATTAAAAAGTTTAGTCAAATTTTTTTAATTGTGGTTATATAGCTCAATATAAAAATCGTAAAGTATGTGAATTTATAGTTACAAAAATTAATGATATAATTATATATATTATTCCATTTTTTGATCAATACAAAATTGAACGGTTCTAAATATAATGATTATGTTAAATTTAAAGAAGCCGCTATTCTTATTAAAAATAAAGAACATTTAACTGAAAAAGGATTAAATAAAATAATGGGCCCCCGCCCCCTTCGGGGGCGGGGTCCCCCGAATTAAATAATTCGCTACCCCCTCCAGCTTCGCTGGAGGGGGGGATGAATAAAAATATTTAAATTGTCTTGATTAAAAGGAGAAAGTTATCTTGATCACAAAAGGCGAAGTGAACCTTCGCCTAGTCTTATATAAGGCGAAACTCTCAAATTGCGGGGAACTCTTAAGAACAAATCTACCAAGTTAATATAGTAATATAATTAATGGAACAGGTAATGACTCGTTGTATGGTAAAAACGATTTGTATATGTAGAATATCCGCAGCCAAGCACCAAGTATTCGCTACCCCCTCCAGCTTCGCTGGAGGGGGGGAAGGAATAACGGTGTGCAGTTCATCGACTAAATGTGAGTTGGGTTTTATTAATATGAAAGGATATTAATAAATACCTTAAGATATAGTCAGGCTCAATACATGAGTATTGGGGTAAACCGAAGAGGAAGTATCACAATAGAATATAAATAATGTATTTAAGTATCATTATCTTACCTTTATTAGGGTCTATAGTTGCTGGCTTTTTTGGTAGAAAAAGTTGGAGTTAGCGGTGCACAATTAATTACCTGTTTAAGTGTAATAATCACTACAGGTTTAGCTATATTAGCTTTTTTCGAGGTTGGTTTTAATAATATCCCTGTGACTATAAATTTATTTAGATGAATAGATAGTGAGTGATATAACATTCTTTGAGGTTTTCAATTTGATAGTTTAACAGTGGCAATGTTAATACCTGTATTAATAATAAGTTCTTTAGTTCACATATATTCAATTTCGTACATGAGCCATGATCCTCGGGGGGTCGCGTTAGGGGAAAACGCGTCTATGGGGATAAACTGTCAAATTCCGGGGAAGTCCTAAAGCTTAAGGTACCAAGCTGTAGTTGAAAAACTATGAGTGGCTGAAGTAATTACTCAGGTACGGTAACAAGCCTTAAGATGAGTGAAAACAAAATGGATAATCGCGGATCTAAGTCAGTAGTAATCGATAGTAATTCTACTGTAAAAGAGCAACGAGTAGACGGCAGTTGATCCATAAAGTCACATTTAATGGATTTAAGATGTACTCTAAGGGGTTTCGAAAGAAACAGAGGTATAAAACTCGGTTTCAACCTGCAACAAGGTTGAAACTCTGCTAAAATCCCATCTAAGCAATTCGATTTAAAAAAAATTTCTACCTATAATTCCACTCTACGAGTAAATCCTTGAGTCTGATCTGGTTTAATAGATGGTGAGGGTTCATTTAACATAATAGTGGATAGAAATAAAAGTCGTAAATTAGGTTGACGTGCTCAATTGAAATTTCAATTAAGTCTACACACAAAAGATCTTAACTTATTATATCTATTACAACAATACTTGGGTGGTATTGGTTCTATTCATTTAGCTCGAAACCGAGATATAGTTAATTATTCAATAGATTCAATTGAAGATTTAAATAAACTTATTATTCATTTAGAAAATTATCCGTTATTAACTCAAAAAAGCCGCGGATTTTTTTTTATTTAAACAAGCGGTAAAAACTTGTAAATAATAAAGCTCATCTTACTGTTGAAGGTTTAAATCAAATAGTAAATATAAAAGCATCAATGAATTTAGGTTTATCTGACACGTTAAAATCAGAGTTTGCTGGATATACTCCAGTTGAAAGACCTGTAATAAATTGTGATAATGTATTTTTAGACCCTTATTGAATTTCAGGATTTGTAAGTGCTGAGGGAAACTTTGATGTTCGTATGCCATCAACCAATAGTAAATTAGGTTATCGAGTACAATTGAGATTTAGAATATCTCAACATATTAGAGATATTAGATTAATGGAGAAAATAGTTGAATACTTTGGGTCAGGAAAGATTTACAAATATGGTGGTAAGTCTGCTGTTAGTTTAACAATAGTTGACTTTACTGATATTACCAATATATTGGTTCCATTTTTTAATAAATACCCTATAATTGGTATAAAACTCTATGATTATCTTGATTGATGTAAAATTCATAGTTTAATGATTAATCGTTCTCATCTGACGGTTGAGGGTATAAATTCAATTAGAAAGATAAAATCTGGTATGAATATAGGTAGAAATTTTTAAGATAAGTAACCATTGTTACTATAAATAAATAAATCAATTGTAGGATAAATTTGGCTTAAAAGCATAACCAAAGATTTTTTAGTTATTTAAGTTTATTTACTTTTATGATGATAATTCTTGTAACAGCGAATAATTATTTATTAATGTTTGTCGGTTGGGAAGGTGTTGGAGTTTGTTCATACCTTTTAGTTAGTTTTTGATTTACTAGAATAGCTGCAAATCAAAGTTCTATGTCTGCCTTCTTAACTAATAGAGTAGGGGATTGTTTTTTAACTATAGGTATGTTCGTCGTGCTATGAACTCTAGGTAATTTAGATTATGCAACAGTATTTTCATTAGCCCCTTATATTAATAGTGATATAGCTACTATTATAGGTATATGTTTACTAATAGGTGCTATGGCTAAAAGTTCTCAAGTGGGTTTGCACGTTTGACTACCTATGGCGATGGAAGGTTTTTTAGTAGGGCTTTCCTTAAACTTCACTATATGCAGGAACATCCCGTTTTAAGTCTTGGTCCACTTAGATTTAGTCTATTCGGAAAAATCCAAGATCAGGGACAATTTGCAGGAAATTCGATAAGAAGTTCCTCAGAGATTACAAGTGAAGCTTTTATGTTAAAAGAAAGTTGATTTAAATGATGATTTATAGGTTTTGTAGAAGGAGACGGATCTTTTATTATTAACAAAGATGGGTATTTAGAGTTTAGAATTACACAATCTAGCCCAGATGCTCAAATTTTATTTATGATAAAAAAAGAATTAGGGTTTGGAGTTGTTAGAAAACAAGATTCAGTAAGAAATACTCATTGTTATAGAGTTAGAGATAAAAATAATCTAATTAAACTAATTTCGGGGGACCCCGCCCCCCCTTCGGGGGCGGGGGGCCCATATTTAATGGAAATATTTTTCTTGATACTAGAAAAGAACAATTTAAATTATGATTAAATGCGTTTAATTTAAAATATAAAGAAAATATACCTCATATAGATAGTTCATTTAGACCTAATTTAGATAATGCTTGATTATCTGGTTTTACAGATGCTGAAGGATGTTTTACTTGCTCCGTTTATGACAATAAGTATAACACTGCTAAATTAGTTAGATTAATATATATTTTATCTCAAAAAGGTAACTCGCTACCCCCTCCAGCTTCGCTGGAGGGGGGAAGTTGTATGGAATATTTAGCTGAAATATTAGGAGGTAAAAAACATTTATTAAAAAGTTACGAAGGTTACAATGTAACAGTTAATACCACTAAATTATCTCCTATTGTACAATATTTTAATCTTTATCCTTTAAAAACTAAAAAGTATATTACATATTTTAACTGAATAAAAATATATAAGTTAGTAATAGATAAAAAACATAATGATCCTGAAAATTTATTATTGATTATGAAATATAAAAATAACATTAATAAATCTGATTATAATAAATAAATCAACTTTCGCAACCCCCCTCCTTTGCGGAGCAAAGGAGGGGGGGGGGTTTTTAGTAATAACTAAAAATCAAACACAGATACATAAATGAAGATATAGTCCGATCAGTTAAGTAATTAACTGCGTATTCCACCCCTCCCTTCCCCCGCCCCTTCCCCATCCTGCAGTACTGCAGGGGGCAGGTTTGCGGGGGGGAGGGGTGGAATCAACATAATTTTGCCTACTCCTGTTTTATTTACTAGGTTATATAAAGACTCTGGTAAAATAACTAGAAACAGATGTTACCAAGTAAAAAATCAAAATATTTATAAAACAAAGACCGTAATTAAAAATTATTCAACTATGATTAATGTAGAAAAAATAAAATTAAATCCTTGGTTCATTACAGGATTATCTGATGGGGATGGTTCATTTTATATTGTCTTACGTAGAGATGCTACTTGTCGTTTTGGATATAGTGTATCTTTGGAATACAAAGTAGTTGCAGAAATTAATCCTCTAAACTTAAAACTATTAGAGTCAGTTCAAGATTTTTTCGAGGGATCGGGTACAATAACTGTAGATAAGAATACCTATTTATATGTGATAAGAAATCGAGGTCATTTAAGAATAGTTTGGAATCATTTTCATAATTATCCATTACAAACAACGAAACATATATATTTTATATTATGGTCTAGAGTTTTAAATTTATTAGAGAAAAAAGACCATTATACTATTAAAGGTTTTATGGAAATTCTATCAATTAAAGCTATATTTCCTACTGGTTTAAATGATAATATTAAAAGAGATTTTCCTAATGTATTACCTATTACTAGGACTGATTTTATACCTAATACCTATAAACTAGATGGGCACTGGGTAGCCGGTTTCACTCAAGCTGATGGATCATTTGGTTTAAATTATACTAAGGTTTCAGCCATGACTCTTGGTTATACTTGTCTACCACAGTTTCGTATTTCTCAAAATGAACGTGATTTAATAGTTTTAAAAAGGATTATAGAATGTTTAGGTTGCGGTAATTTGATTAATGTCAGTAAAACTAAAAAAGAATGGGTTGTATCTGTTTCTAATAGTTCACAGTTATATAATACTATAATTCCTTTTTTTAAACAATATGCTATATACGGAGCAAAATATGAAGACTACAAGGATTTCAGCCTGGGTATAGAGATCATAAGTAAAAAAGGACATTTAACAGCTGAAGGGTTAGATCAGTTAAAAGAAATAATAACTTCCCCCCTCCAGCTTTGCTGGAGGGGGTAGCGAATGAATTACCATAGAAAATTTTAACCCTTTCACAATTAATTACTAATATAATCTGCTTTGTTTTATAGAATAATAATAAAAAATAAATAAAACAGGAATACGTAGGCAATACATGTTTTATAAACTAATTTTAACGCAAGGTTAGTTTAGGCACTGACATAATGGCCTACTCCCGTCAGTGCTTTAATACACGCTGCCACGATGGTAACTGCAGGTGTATATTTATTAATGCGTAGTTCACCATTAATTGAATATAGTAGTACTGTCTTACTATTATGTTTATGATTAGGTGCAATAACTACTGTATTTAGTTCTCTTATTGGTTTATTCCAACAAGATATTAAAAAAGTTATAGCTTATTCCACAATGAGTCAATTGGCTCGAGAATATAAAATTCATTCTATTATATTCAGGCATCAAACTATTTACGTAGAACTTATAAATTTATTTATAAGCAATTCGAAGATAACCAAAGCTCATGACTATTTATTAGATAGTCATTATAATGTTAACATTTTTAATTCATCTCTCATTCAATGATTGTACTATTGCATGGATGTTATAAACAAACATGTTATTATGTCAGTAAGGTGAAATGTTAATATTATTAGAAAGTTAGTAGGAATCTCAGAGGCCATACGTTTGATATTAGTCTTAGTTAAATTAAGAATTATTAATTTAACAATAGTAACATTTATCTTAAGTAGATATACATACTTTATGACTTTTTCAATTCTTAGTAATATTATTGGTATGCTTCCCCCCCTAACGAAGTGTCTAATAAAGGAAGGAAGAAATATTCACACTAAAACAGAATCGGGGGACCCCACAACGAAGTTGTGGGGGCCCAACTCCGATAGGGGGAGAAGCCAATTCAATAAATACTTGCCATTTCGTCAATGGTTAGCAGGTTTAATAGACGGAGACGGATATTTTTTATTAACTAAAAAAGGATATAGTAGTTGTGAAATAACTATGGACGCCAGGGATGCCAAAGCATTATATGAAATAAAACACAAATATGGTGGAAATATAAAACCTATTTCAAATGCTTCTGCAGTAAGATATAAGTTAAGACATAAAAAAGGTTTAATGAAATTAATAAACGATGTAAATGGATTATTAAGAAATCCGACACGATTATTACAAATGAATAAATTATGTGTAAAATATGATATAGAACTAAAATATCCTGGACCTTTGACTTTTAATGATGGATGATTAAGTGGATTTATAGATAGTGACGGATCCATTTATTATAACGAAAGATCCGGACAAGTGTTTATAAGTTTAACTCAAAAAAATAGATATCTATTAGAACCGTTAATAGCAATATACGGAGGAAGAGTTGATATACATAGCCCCAAAATAGAAGCATTTAAATATATTATCTATAGAAAAGGTGAGTTATTAAACTTAATAGATAATTATTTTACTAAGTATCCATTAAAAACAGAAAAAATGAAAAGAGTTAATTTAATAAAAGATTTCTATTTACTAAGAATACATGCAAAAAGTCAAGACATAAACAAATTTAATGAATGAGTTAAATTCAAAGATAGATGAGAAAAATACCAAGATTAATAAAGAAATGGTCCAAAGTATATGATTGGCCCTTAAACCAGACCGAACCCACATAAGGGCCAACGATACTTAGCAATTGGGGATGATGGTTATAGCTATAGGTTTATCTTCTTACAATGTAGCTTTATTTCATTTAATCAATCATGCATTTTACAAAGCACTCTTATTTTTAGGAGCTGGTAGCGTTATACACGCTGTAGCTGATAACCAAGACTTTAGAAAGTTTGGGGGGGTTAAAAAAATTATTTACCTTTAACATACTCTGTTATGTTAATAGCAAGCCTAAGTTTAGTGGCTTTCCCATACATGACTGGTTTTTATAGTAAAGATTTTATTTTAGAGTCTGCTTATGGACAATTTAGTTTTTCAGGGGTAGCTGTATATATCATAGCTACTATTGGTGCAATATTTACAACTTTATACTCTGTTAAAGTATTGTATTTAACTTTTTTAGCCAACCCTAATGGTTATACCCTTTTTTATAAACCTTGAATATGGCATACCTCTTATTATTCGGTGAAAAACCGAAAAATACATGTACATGTAAGTCATAGTTATCCGGCAAAAAAAAAGACTATTGGGCTTGTATTTTATTAGAAAATTGCCGAATCCAGTAGTATCAGGTGAGGGTGGATTCTTTTTAAGTTTACCTTTAGTTATATTGGCCTTATTTTCTATATTCTTTGGTTTCATTACTAAAGATATATTTATAGGTTTAGGATCTAACTTTTTTATAGATAATAGCTTATTTATTCATCCTATTCATGAGATAATGATAGATACTGAATTTGCTGTACCTACATTATTTAAACTATTGCCTTTTATATTTACTGTATCTTTTAGTTTAATAGCTTTAGGTTTTTCTGAAAAATACCCAAACTTAGTTGTTCATTTTAAATTATCTAGATTAGGTTATAATCTTTTTGGTTTCTTTAATCAAAGATTTTTAGTTGAATTATTTTATAATAAATATATTACAAATTTAGTTTTAGATTTAGGTGGACAAATTACTAAGATTTTAGATAAAGGTAGTATAGAGCTATTAGGACCTTTTGGTTTAGAAAAAGTCTTAATTAAATGAAGTAAAGATATAGCATCTTTAAGTACAAGTATTGTAACAAATTATGCTTTATTTATTTTAGTTGGATTTATTTTATATGTATTTACATATATTAGTTTTTTAGAAGGAGGTTTGGATTTGAATTTATCTTTATTCATTTTTATTACTTTCTTTTATATCTGCTTTTTATTCCAAAAGAAGCAAAAAATGATTAAGAATGGCTACCATATTGGTAGAACTAAAGAAAAATTTAAGTAATGACGAACTCTTCTATCCAATTACCAGTAATGACGAACTCTTCTATCCAATTACCAGAAAGTAGCAGCCTAGGTATAGCGTTAACATATGGAGTAGTGGGTGGCCTGGGCCTGGGCCTATTAGGCTACGTAGCTTATAAACTCTATAAGTGATATAAAGATAAAGACGAACCAAAGGGGGGGGCCAGGGCCGGGTATTATCCCCCCACTGATGGAGGCAGGGCCGGGTGTTATCGATCCTCCTACTCCCCCACTGGGGGGGCCAGGGCCGGGTATTATCGATGCTCCTACTCCCCCACCTTTACCTGTTTATCTCCCAGTATTTCCTAATTATATCCGAGTATTTGATGGAGAAGAACCTATAGATTTTCCTCGGCTAGGCCGAACAATCGTGTTGGTATTTATAAATTGGGCTCTCCATTTGGATCTTATTTCGGGAGAGTTAAATATTAGAAATCCCGATACTAATCGTATAATTCCCGTGCAGGATGATATGCTTGATTACGCCAGGCGTCTTATACGTTATACTACTTCTCAACTACGGTCTAGGTATGATCCGGTCTTAATGATTATCAGACCTTTATTACCTCAAGAACTTAATTTACTACTAAATGTGGCCTATAGGACTTTTAGAATGTCAAGTCAACAGTTGACGGAACTTGTGGATGTACAAGGTGGGTTATATGATAATATATACATCCTGTCATCTCTTCTAGGTTAAAAATCTAAGTAAGCTTTTTTATAATATGAGAAAGATGACTATTGAAATTAACTATTTCGTGGTACATCTGGGTGGGCAGGCGGGTTATATTATAAATCGTAACAGAGTTTAATTGTAAATCTAAGTAAGTAGTTGTAGTCATCCATTATTATACACTTTCTGATTGTCAGCAGTTGTGGGTGATTTGTATGGTGCCAAAAGTTCTTTTAGTTAGGGAGGCGGTCCCCTAACCAATCCTTTGTCACTTACAAATCACACACACATTCTCATTAGCTCAAGGTAGAGCAGAATACTTCTAATATTCGGGCCGCCCCGTCCCCCCCCCCGCCCTGCAGTACTGCAGGGCAGTTTGGGGGGGGGCGAAAAAGTAAAAATTCTAAAATATTTAGAGAGGTAACGGCGTTAAAACCACGTCTACTCCCTCACTCTTAATAAATATAATGATATTTATTTTTATATTAGGGAGAGCATCTTTCCCTAGAATACGTTATGATCAATTAATGGGTTTTTGTTGAACAGTTTTATTACCTATAATCTTTGCGTTAATAATCTTAGTGCCTTGTATTTTAGAAAGTTTTTATATTTTTTATATACATTTATCCCAGGACTCCTCCTCCTCCTGCCGAAGGCAGGAGGCAGGAGGAGGAGTCCTAGTCTAGTCTATAAAATTACTAATATTAAATATATTAATATATTATAAAGAGTTTTAATAATAATAATAAGGTGTAGAAGAAGTTTGGTTTAATGATCTTTATTCTTTATTTTTTTTTGTTATTTCTTGCATTTTTTTTTTTATTAATTTATTTACCATGAGATTATTAAAAAGTCATCCTTTATTAAAATTAGTTAACTCATATCTTATTGACGCTTCACAACCTAGTAACATAAGTTATTTATGAAACTTCGGTTCTTTATTAGCATGTTGTTTAATTATACAAATTGTAACTGGTGTAACATTGGCAATGCACTATAGTCCTAACGTATTAGAAGCTTTTAACTCTATAGAACATAATATAGCATAATGTGTTCTCTAAATCGGGCTAAATTGCTGGAAACCCTTAAACTTCTAAGGCAATCAGCAGGTAACCTAAGGAGTATTTAAGTTTATCAATACTTATTGCCACCTAGGATCTTCAGAGACTACACGCCTGACATCGTCCCCCCCNNNCCCCTGCAGTACTGCAGGGGGGGGGGTGAAAAGGTGAAGATATAGTCCAATTTTTACTGCGAAGTAAAATAGGAATGAATTTCTATCTATGCCTTATTAATTCAGGCATAATTTTATTGTCGTTTATTTTTGTATCAGGTATTAAAAATAAAACGGGATTTTGTAATTATTCTAGTAAAGCTATGCAGCAGAGGCTAAGGCGAAGCCTCAGCCTCAGCCTCAGCCTAACACAAGATGAAAATCTTAATAAAGTAAATATAAATGATGAATTTTTACACTGATTTAGTGGATTTACTGATGCTGAAGGTAGTTTTCTAATTACTATAGATCGTAATTATGTTAAATTAAGATTTAAAATTAGTTTACATATTGATGATTTAAAAGTTCTTCAAATTATTCAATCAAATCTAAATATAGGTAGAATAACAGAAGAAAAAAATAGAAACCGTTGTTCTTTTATTGTAGAAGATGTTTCAGGTATAAATACAATATGTTCTATTTTTAATGATTATCCTTTACACACTAGTAAAAAACTAGATTTTAAAGATTTTTATGAAGCTTTGCTTATTAGAAATAAAAATAAAAATTTATCCGACACTCATATAGAAAGAATATTATCTTTAAAAAATAATATGAATTCTAAAAGAGAAATATTTACATATGAAACAACAAAATCTCAAATTATAATAAACCCTAATTGATTTATAGGTTTTATTGAAGGTGAAGGTACTTTTGGTATTAAGACTGGGTCTTCATTGTATTTACAAGTGGCTCAAAAAAATACGAGTCAGGAATGTTTAAATGCAATAACTAATTATTTAATTAGTTTATCCAATAAGAGCCGCCAGGCGTCTTTTCACACTCAAAATAATAAAATATTACCTGTAAATGTTACAAGTATAACTAACGCTAGAACCAATGTTGTATCATTGGTTGTAGCTAATGCAGATGCTTTATATTATTACATTTTACCTTTATTGGATGAATCTAAATTTTATAGCCGTAAAGTCATAGATTTTAAATTATGAAGAATGGCTTTAATCTTAAAAATTAATGGATATTATTATACACTTGAAGGTAAAAATTTATTTTTAGATATTTCAGAAATTCTTAATAAAAGATATAGTACAACTATATCAATTGAGAATGTTGATGAAATAATTAAGGATATTAGTAAAAAATTTGAGGATATTATAAAAAAAGATCCTCCTTTTGATATAAAGTTAGATTTGCCGCACACTGAAAATGTACGTAAGTTTAGTATAGCTAATAGATCTGAAAACCCTAAAATTGTTTATATTTATACAAATGAGGGTATGATCGAAGGATCTCCTTTTATTTCATTTAGTGCGGCTCATAAGGCATTAGGCTTAAACCCTAGTAGTAATACATGTAATCGTTATATTGATACAAATAGATTATATAAAAATAAATATATTTTCACATCTAAACCTATAGATAGAGCGTCTAAGGGTTAGATTATAGTAGATAGAACTTATTTATATAATGATTATGCGTGATGTGAATAATGGATGATTAGTACGTTACTTACACAGTAACACAGCTTCAGCTTTCTTCTTCTTAGTTTATTTACATATAGGAAGAGGAATGTATTATGGATCTTATAGAGCTCCTAGAACATTAGTTTGAGCTATCGGAACAGTAATACTTATACTTATGATGGCTACTGCCTTCCTGGGTTACCAACATAGCCCAAAATGATTTAATATAAAAGTTACCAAAAGTCTTGAGATACGGAGTTTAAGTTTAGCAAGCCAAAAATTTATTATTTCAGGTATCACTAAAAACCCTGTCCACAGGGGTGGGATTAGATATTATAATACAAAATCTTCTTTACCTCGGGTAAATTTGTCTAATAACTTAACTAATATAATTAAGGAATTAGAACTAAATCCTATTTATGTTTTTGAAAATCTAAGGTTAGAAACTACTAAAAAAGATATTTTAAATTCTACCTCAGGCTTAAGTGGTATATACATGATAATAAATAAAACGACAGAAGATTATTATATAGGTTCTGCATCGACTGATAGATTTTATGCTAGATTTTCTAACCATCTTATTTATTTTAGGGGTAGTAAAGTAGTTAAAGCTGCAGTAAAAAAATATGGATTAGATAATTTTGCTTTTTTAATATTAGAGTTATATCCTAATATTGTAACTAAGGAGAATAATAAAGAATTATTGGATTTAGAAGACAAATATTTGAAGTATTTATTACCTAATTATAATATTTTAACTGAGGCAGGGTCTAGTTTTGGTTATAAACATTCAGAAATTGATCGTATTAAAATGAAAGAGATATATAGTAATGAAAGACGAGAAAAGATTGGTAGTTTAAATAGAGGTAAAAAATTATCACCTGAAACAATAGAAAGGATGAGAGAAAAAGCACTTAATAGATCTCCTATGTCTGACGAAACTAAATTGAAATGTATAACCAATACGAAACCTGTTATTTTATCTAATTTAAATGGTACTATTTACGGTAAATATCCTACAATATTAGATGCATCTAAGGCTATTAATTGTAATGAAAAAACAATTAGAAGAGCTTTAAAAACAGAAAAAAAATTAGTAAAAAGACAATGAAGAGTAAATTGTTTATATAAATAACTTAAGGCGGTTATTTGCTCCTTTTAAGATGAAGAACTTTTATATTAAATTATAGTCTCACGAGTAATAATCTTTTTGCAATTTTTATAAAGAAAAAAAGGTTAAAGTGATATAACCCGACGGGGTTATAGAATAGTATTTAATAAAATATTATTTGGCAATGCTAGTGAAAACGATCAAAGAAGTAAATAAGCTTTGCTTTAAGATCGTCGGTTATATAAATGATCGCGACAGACTGGGTCACTGGTGGGTAGCTGAAATGCTGCTTAATGCACAGTCGGAACTCTTAGATTATATCTAATAACATGTGCGAATTCAAAGTCATGTTAAATATACAAAAATATTATTCAAAACATTATATTGTTTTAGAGATTAATTTTTTTGTTATATTGAGTTAGTATGTTTTACCTTATGGACAGATGAGTTTATGAGGTGCTACTGTTATTACCAATTTAATAAGTGCAATTCCATGAATTGGACAAGATATTGTTGAGTCAAAAATTATTACTTTAATTATTAATTTATCTTTTATTGCTATTTTATTTTTCAATTGTAGTTGTGTATTATTATATCTTACTACATGTTAATTTTTCATCTAACCTTCCTACGATAGGTGTTATTCATCAAAAACGCTTTAAAGAAATCAAATAAGGCTTTAAGATTAGATAAACAAGAATATATATCCATTCCTTCATCATTTTTAGCTTTTTTAGCTGGATTGGTTGATGGTGATGGGTATATTCAAGTAACTAAAACATCTAAAGGTTTCATAGCAATTAAGTTAGTTATATCTCTTCATTTAGAAGATCTTTCTACTTTAGAATATATTCATTCTGTTTTAAAAAATAGGTAAGATAAATATTTATAAGGATTTAAGAAGTCCAACTTGTAAATTAGTAATTAATAAAACGGATCTACAAGAAATATTGTTCCCATTGCTTATGTATAATAAGATTTTTTTCTTAACTAATACTAGAGCAGATCAATTTAACTTAGCTATGTATATATTCAAAAATGATATTAAGATGTATAATCAAATTCCCGATAACACACCTGCTGTTTTTGAGATACCTAAAAATCCTATTGATTACACATTATTGCCTTTTTTTAAAAATTGAATAGTCGGATTTACATGTTCTGAGGGTTCATTTATTATTAAAAGTAATAATGATGGTTGTTTTCAATTAAAACAGAGAATACATACTAATTTATTTGAAGCCTTTAAACTAATGTTTAATACTAATAGAAAAATAGATACAACAAATAATTTTAATCAATTTGGTGTTAGTTCTAAATCTGATATACAAAAAGTTATAAATTTCTTTTCATTTTCAGGTTTACATCCTTTAGTAGGGTTGAAATATATTCAATATATAAAATGGTTAAATAATTTACGAGAAAGTTTGCGTTATAGTACCTTAAATTATCCTGATGCAAAATAATGCAAGATAGATTGCAAAAGATATAAATTAATAAATGTAATGGGCTCCTTAAAATAGGTAGGGTTTAATCGGGGGACCCCACAACATAGTTGTGGGGGCCCTATTATATTTTAGAGGCAAATGGGGAAAATTACAAGGACATTTAATAAATTACCTCCGTTTTATTAGATTATTTGTAGCGAAACTTAATTCGGTATATAAAAAATGGATTAAGAACGTTCAACGACTAATGAGTGAGTTATACCAACAATAAGCTCAACACGATACCCCCAAAATCTTCATATTATTAAGAAGGTTTAAGATATAGTCTAAATATACCCTTAAGGGTGTAAAGTATAAGTTAAATATTATACGTAATATATTGTCATTTGAGGAGGTTTTAGTGTAAACAATGCTACTTTAAATAGATTCTTTGCTTTACATTTTGTTTTACCATTTATTTTAGCAGCATTAGTATTAATGCATCTGATTGCACTTCATGATACAGCAGGGTCAAGTAACCCTTTAGGTGTTTCAGGTAATTACGATAGAATAACATTTGCTCCTTATTATTTATTTAAAGATTTAATAACTATTTTTATCTTTATATATGTTTTAAGTTCATTTGTTTTCTTTATGCCCAATGTTTTAGGTGATAGTGAAAATTATATAATGGCCAACCCTATGCAAACTCCACCTGCTATTGTGCCAGAGTGATAGAAAGTAAAACGAGATGTCACTTAATCTCACTATAAGCTGGAAACTCCTATTGATTACTAATGTATGGTAAGACTATATATTAGTAATGTAGGACAATCAGCAGGAAACCTAATGATATTTATATATATTAGTAGGATAATCCTCAGAGACTATATGTGAGACAATTTAAATTATTTTATCGTGAAGCGCTTGCTGGCTAGCTAGCTAGCATAGAAGTAGCAGCAGCAGAAGCAAGCATTACTTACGAGTACCCTCTCTCCACTCCTTGAGTCCTTTAGGACGTAAGTGGAGAGAGGTTCAAAATAACTATTTAGCAATTTTAATTGAAGAGATAGTCCGACCATAGTATAAATACTATGATTAACCAAACCTTAAATTTAATTTAATCGGGGGACCCCGCCCCCTTCCCCCCCTGCAGTACTGCAGGGCGGGGGGACGGGGGCGGCCCTATTCCTTTATTATTATTTGTGTCTAGTCCGGTAATACAAGCTATTCGTTCTACAGCAGGAATTAAACGTTTATCTCCTTCTGAGAGAGCTTTAATCAAGAGGCACGCCCACCTTAGAACTCCAATAAATATTGGTAGCTCGGTCTTTTACTAGGCGATACTTTATTTCGTTACATATTTGTGAAGATATTTGCTGCACTATTTAAATATTCATATTATATTATGAAGACTCCCCCCACTTCTAAACCCCCGCAAGCTTGCGGGGGGGTTGTTGAGGGTACGGGTTTTTATATATTTTGCTATCCTTTGCAAGTTTAAAAGTTGTTAAAATAACCCTAAATCTGAAAAAGCTGCCTCCGAGGGACCCCACGAATACTTATTCGTGGGCCAATTTTTTTTTTGAGGAGGCGGAGGCTTCCTCCTCCGGAAGGAGCTCCTGAGGCTCCGCCTTAGTCGAGGGACCCCACGAATACTTATTCGTGGGGGGCCAAAAAAAAAAAGACAGAGGAGAAGTAGCCTGAACATAATATTTTAAAAACAGCTGGTTCAAGATTAGGGGCTACTAGACTCCTTATAAAATAGTTAGAGGTCATAGAACGACCTTCCAAAGAAGAAAAGGCAGGCGCGCTCTTCACAACTATGCAACTTCCCTGTTTTAATGAATGTTATATAAATGGGGGGACTATAAAGCTCTTTCCTTCCTTCCTACGAAGTCTAGGGAGGCAGGAAGGCAGTATCTTTCTAGCGCTAGCCTTAGGCTTAGCGTAATATTTATTAATAAAGGATTAAATTAAATAAAAATTTAAATTAAATGATCTTTTACCTTTCTATGCTATATTAAGATCTATACCTAATAAATTATTAGGAGTTATTGCTATGTTTAGTGCAATATTAGCTATAATGTTATTACCTATAACAGATTTAGGTAGATCAAAAGGTTTACAATTTAGACCTTTAAGTAAATTCGCTTTCTGAGCTTTTGTAGTAAATTTCTTAATTTTAATGAAATTAGGTGCTTGTCATGTAGAATCACCTTTTATTGAATTAGGTCAATTTAGTACAATCTTTTATTTCAGTTACTTTATATTTATAGTACCTGTGCTTAGTTTAATTGAGAATACTCTTGTAGATCTCAACTACTTGAAATAAGATTTTTTTAGGCAAAGCTAAAAAAAATTTTTTTTAGCTTCGCTTAATTTTTTTTTAGCAAAGCTAAAAAAAAATAATGCCACCAAATCCCCCCCCCCCTCCTCCGCCCCTACGTATCCCCCCCTTCCCCCCTCGCAGTACTGCAGGGCGGGGGGACGGGGGGATTAGGGGTGGAGGAAGGGGGTAGCGAAGGGGCGTGTCTCTGGATAGCTTTACGCTTTACGCTTTACGCTTTACGCTTTAGCTTGCGCTTGGAGGGAAAATGAAGATTATAATGTGATCTTAGTAAGGGATCACATTATAAGGATTACGATGTAAATGGTTTACCCTTTGACTGCAAATCTTAAGGATTAGGTTCGATTCCTACGTAATCCTTTAGGGTTAGCCTTAGCTTCGCCAGCCAATTTTTTTGAGGCTAGCTTAATTTTTTTTTAGCAAAGCTAAAAAAAATAAGCGCCAGCAAAAAAAAAAAAATGAAGCAAGCTGCCCGCAAATTTAATAAATTTACTAACTATCTTAATGAAAAAAAAAATAATTCTATAAGGGGAGTAATTATCTGTATTTAGGGCTTAAATAATATGGGGGTAGTACATAATAATAATATTTAAGCACTAAAACATATATTTGTTTTGTTTTTAAAAATATATGATAAAAAGACGCCTCCCGGCTCGATTTATTATTTGTATGTAAAATAAATTTAGGTTTAGTTTAGTTTGGAGGCGAGCTTCGCTAGCCCCTAAAATATACAAACTAAATCTTCTCTTGTAGGCTACAAAGGAATATAAGATACTAACTAAACTATCGGGGGACCCCACGAATACTTCGTATTCGTGGGGCCTAGTTAATAAAAATATGATTAACTATCCACCCCTTTATCCCAACGAAGTGCTGCACTTCGCAATCCCCCTCATCCTAATCCCCCGTATCCCCCTAATCCCCCGTCCCCCCGCCCTGCAGTACTGCAGGGGGGAAGGGGGATTAGGGGATAAAAGGATTAGGGCAGCCTCCGGGCTAACCCGGAATTTTTTTAGCAAAGCTAAAAAATAAAGGCTAGGGATACCACTTCGTTGGGGGGATTAGGGGTGGATGCTACTATTTATAAATATATTATTACATTACTAATATATTATTTATAGTCTAGTAGGATACTAAGCAGTATCTTAACTGATGTTGTAGAAAAGGCGGAGTGATTCTGAGGCAAGCTTCGCCCGCCTTAACAAAATATGTATTATGAAGAAATAAACCGGTAAAGAAATATTTCTTTTTTTTTTTATATACACTACCTACATATTTTGGAGGCGAGCTTCGCGGAATTTTTTTAGCAAAGCTAAAAAAAATAATTTGCCTCCCAAAATATTTTTAATATTTTGGTTAAATAATAAGATAAGTCTTCATTTTCTCGCGTAGCGGAGGCTCTCCTAACGAAGTGGGAGCAAAATGAATTATAATAATAACTTGTGCGCTCCTCCAAAGGCGCTCATCCACTCTTCACAATCCCCCTTCCCCCCCCTGCAGTACTGCAGGGCGGGGGGACGGGGGGATATGTGGATGAGGGTAGCGAGAAAAGTTAATTTACTACATGAGGCTAATGGAATATTGGNTANNTGGACCTTAATATAGCAAGGCACTTCGTTGGTTCTAATACTGATTTAGCCGTGATTCCGCCTTTTTAAAAAGAAAGTCCACAAAACATTGAAAGGCTAGTGTGTTTTTTAGTAAGTCAGTCAATCACCTACGTAGGTGATCCAGAATTACGTTACCGGGGATATTCTGTTGGTCGGTTTACAGAATATCCTGGTTAGCATTGATTGTATAATCAATAAGATGTTGTAATCTTATTTTATTTTTATTTATAAGATACGTAACCATTATAATAAAAACCATTATATTATTTAATCAATTAAATAGTGAGGAGTTTGGGCTCTCTTTAAATTCAAGTAAAAGAAGTGTCGGGTTAATGTCGTCAATTTCGATTTGAACTGAAAGATGATTTTTATCAACGAATGCTAAAGATATAGGAGTTCTTTATCTAATCTTTGCGCTATTTTCTGGGTTACTTGGAACAGCATTTTCTGTTTTAATAAGAATGGAGTTAAGCGGACCTGGGGTGCAGTACATTGCAGATAATCAATTATACAATGCTATAATAACAGCACATGCAATCCTGATGATTTTCTTTATGGTTATGCCAGCATTAATAGGTGGATTCGGTAATTTCTTATTACCATTATTAGTAGGGGGTCCTGACATGGCATTCCCAAGACTTAATAATATTAGTTTCTGACTGTTACCACCAAGTTTACTATTATTAGTATTCTCTGCATGTATAGAAGGTGGAGCAGGTACAGGATGAACAATTTATCCTGCCAAGTGATTTAGGGTATCACTTTTTATGTGGGAAAAGCTGCCAAATTCCGGGGAAGCCCTAAAGCTTTTGGTACCAAACCTGGAATGAAAATTCGGAGGTGGAAAAAGTAATGCTTTTTATATGGTAACAAGTCAAAAGATGAGTGAAAACGAAATGGGTTATCGCGGATCTAAATCAATAATATTTAAAAGTCTTATTGTAAAAGAGCAACGAGTAGACGGTAGCTACATAAATTCTAATTTTTTGGCTTCGCAGCCAAAGACTTTAATTCAGAATTCTATGTTAAGGTGTACTCTAACGGGCTTCGAAAGAAGTTATCAAGTCAAAGCCCTTTCTAGTATAACAAATAAACGGTTTTATTCTTCTAAAGGGGAAAATTCTAAGTTAAATCCTTGAGCAGTAGTAGGATTTATTGACGCGGAAGGTTCATTTATGGTTAGAGTTAGAAAAAATTCTAAATATAAAACCGGATGACTTGTAGTGGCTATATTTTCTGTGACTGTCGATAAAAAAGATTTATTTTTATTAGAATCCCTGAAAACTTTTTTTGGAGGGTTAGGTAGTATAAAAAAGAGCGGTAATAGTACTTTTAGTTATAGAATAGAATCATCTGAACAACTTACCAAAATAATTTTACCTTTTTTTGATAAATATTCTTTAATTACTGAAAAACTAGGGGATTATCTCCTATTTAAAAAAGTTCTAGAATTAATGGGTACTAAAGAACATTTGACCCAAAGAGGATTAGAAAAAATAGTATCCCTTAAAGCTTCTATTAATAAAGGTCTATCTGAGGAATTACAGGCCGCTTTCCCACAATGTGTTCCTACACCTAGACCCGAAATTAATAATAAATTAATTCCAGATCCTTTTTGATTAGCAGGATTTGTTTCTGGGGATGGAAGTTTTAAATCTATTTTAAAAAAATCGGAATCAATTAAAGTAGGATTTCAATCAATTTTAGTGTTTCAGATAACTCAACATGCTCGAGATGTAAAACTTATGGAAAGTTTAATTTCTTATTTGGGATGTGGGTTCATTGAAAAAGATTCTAGAGGTCCTTGATTATATTATACCGTAACGAATTTTTCAGATATTCAAGGTAAAATCATACCTTTTTTTCATCAATATAAAATAATAGGTTCTAAATATGGAGACTATATGGATTGATGTAAAATTGCATTAATAATGCAGAATAAAAACCATTTAACTCCTGAAGGGTTAAATGAAATTAGGGCTTTAAAGGGAGGTATGAATAAAGGAAGACTACCCTTACCCTCTTCTTTTGATTCCTTAACCTTCAAAAAACCAGAAGTAGTCTAGTTTCTGAATACCGTTTATTTTTATACTTGATAAATTTGATAGCCGTGCCATTATCAGGTGTACAAAGTCATAGTTGGACCTAGTGTAGATTTGGCTATCTTTGCCCTACATTTATCAGGAGTTAGTTCCTTATTAGGGTCTATTAATTTCATAACTACAATAGTAAATATGAGAACACCAGGAATTAGATTGCACAAATTAGCTTTATTTGGATGAGCTGTAGTTATTACAGCTGTATTATTATTACTATCTCTCCCCCGTGTTGGCCGGTGCAATTACTATGCTATTAACAGATAGAAATTTTAATACATCATTCTTTGAAAACAGCTGGTGGTGGTTGATCCTATTTTATTCCAACATCTTTTCTGATTCTTCGGTCATTCCAGAGGTTTACATTTTAATTATACCTGCTTTTTGGTATAAATAAGTACAACAATATCAGGCTTATTTCTAATAAATCAGTATTCGGTTATATTGGTATGGTCTACGCCATGATGTCTATTGGAATATTAGGATTTATTGTTTGAAGTCATCATATGTATACAGTTGGTTTAGACGTGGATACAAGAGCGTATTTCACAGCAGCTACATTAATTATTGCAGTTCCTACAGGAATTAAAATATTCTCATGATTAGCTACATGTTATGGAGGTTCTATTAGATTAACTCCTTCTATGTTATTTGCTTTAGGTTTTGTATTTATGTTCACAATTGGAGGATTAATAAAAAACCACTTAGTTCTCCCTTTAAAGACTACCATAAGCTGGGAACTTCTGACAATTATACTACTTCCCCCCTCCCAGCGCAGCTGGAGGGGGTAGCGAGTTTTATATGATCTCAGTAAAAATGTATAATTTTGAACAATCAGCGGGTAACCAACAGATAAAACCATTTATCTTAGTAGGTACCTCAGAGACTAAACGTAGTCCCCTTAATAATATTAAGGGAAGATATAGTCCGTGAAACCAAAAATGATCATTTAATAGTTTAGTTGCTTCTAATATTAATCCTTTATTGAATTTTGATCTTAAATTCAATATTCGTACTTATTCTACTTCTAATTTGTCGACTCCAACGGAGAAACAGGATAATACTGATAATTTAGTTCCTTTAATTGCATATGATAACTTTAAAGAAAATAGAGTTAATATTTTAAAAGAACAAAAAGACAAATCAGGTATTTATTGTTTAATTAATAAAAATAATGGTCATTCTTATGTAGGAAGTTCTATTAATTTAGCTTCTAGAATGAGAAATTATCTTAATACTGCTTTTTTAAAAAGTAAACAAAATATTAATATGCCTATTGTTAAAGCCTTATTAAAATATAATCCGTCTAACTTTAAACTATTAATATTAGAGTATGTAGACTTAAAAACTTTAACCCTTAGAGAAACTTATTATATAACATATGTATTGCCGTACTATAATGTGTTAAAACAAGGTTATTCTTCATTAGGTTATATACATACAAAGGAAACTAAAGCATTATTATCCCAATTGGCTAAAAATAGAGTTCATACTGACGAAACTAAAGCTTTAATAGCTAGAGCTTTGACAGGTGAAAATAACCCATTTTACAATAAAAGTCATTCTATGGAAAATAAAGTAAGAATTATTGAAGCAAAATCTGCTTATCCTGTTTATATATACAATTCTTTTAAAAAGTTATTAATTATCTTCCCTTCTGTAGGAACTTTGGCTAAATTGATTAAATCTAATCATCCTACAATAGTTAATGTGATAAAAGAAGGAATTCTATTTAGAGGAGAGTGATATTTTACTAATATACCTTACAATATAGAAGATGCACCTTTAATAACTGACTGAAATTCTAAAGAATCTGAGGAATTAATTTTAAATATAAATAATAACAGTCAGATTAGAAAAGCAGTATTTGTATATGATATGAATAAGAATTTTGTTGCTAAGTATGATGGAGTAATGGAAGCCCAAAGAGCTTTAGGCATAAGCCATAGTACAATTAAAAATTATGCTAAAGTAAATGGTATTTATAAAGGTTATATCTTTAGATACGAAAGATTAAATGATCAAGAAACTTTTGGTTCGTAAGTGGAGTTGTTTTAGCCAACGCATCTTTAGATATAGCTTTCCACGATACTTACTATGTAGTTGCTCAAATGGGCCTTAATAATTATTATGATTATTTCGCATTTGGCTATATGCTTGGAACTATGTGCTTAGGTATTTATCTACTTTATATAGCTTATTATTATCTTTTAAAAATAGATGCAAATAGAAAATTTAATTTTCTTACTATGTACAGTAAAAATGATAAATTACCTGTTACTTTAAAAAGTACGGACATACAATTAGCAGAAAACTGTAAAGAATTCTCAGAGACTACACGCCAAATATCTGATTTTAACGATAAGAATTTTTTTAAATGATTAGCTGGAATTATAGATGGGGATGGTAATTTTGACGTTAGAAATATTAATTCGGCGGACCCCGCCCCCCTTCGGGGGCGGGGGCCCAAATTAGTTTTAAAAGCTATTAGAATTAAATTACATAATAGAGATATTAGAATACTAAATCGTATTCAAAATACATTACATATAGGAAGAATTAGATCTGATAATAATAAACCGTATTCTATATGAATAATTAGTAAAAAAGAAGAAATGTTATTTTTAATAAATAATATTAATGGTTTGATTAGACTTAAAGTTCCAGGATTAAAAAAATCTTGTGATTATTTAGGTATAGATTATATAGAAGCTGATTATAATATTCAGGCTAATGATCCTTATTTATCTGGATTAGTTGATACAGATGGTAGTATTGTTTTTAATTACACTGGAAATAGAATTGAATGTAATTTAGAATTTGAACATAACGAGTATACTAGTAAACTTAATTTAAATAACGTTATCCCTAACTATAAACCTTCAGTGGTTTTTAGAGAATCTAGAAATACTATAGCATTTAGATATCAAAATGTAAAAGAAATGGTATTTTTATATGATTACTTTATGAAAAATAGATTATATTCTGATTTTAAATTTTATAGAGTATCAAAAATAAAAGGGTTTATTCTTATAAGAAGTTATAAAAATGACCCTAAAGATAGTTTAGAATTTAAAAAATATTCAGATTTTGTTTTAGATTGAATTCAATACAAAAATCCTATTTGACATAAGGTAACATTTATAGATAAAATCAGATAATGATATAGTCCAAATATATATAAAAATTTACTTTTATATTATATGCATTTCCACTATGTATTAAGTATGGGAGCTGTGTTTGCAATGTTTAGCGGATGATATCACTGAGTACCTAAAATATTAGGTTTAAATTATAATATGGTGTTATCTAAAGCTCAATTCTGAATTTTATTCATAGGGGTTAGACAAACGGGAAGACTTTTTGAAAAGGAAAAAAGATTGTATAGCTCCAAAGGTGGTGGTTCACCTTTAAATCCTGAAGAGTTTATTCATTTTTTTCATAATGTTAAAGAAAGTAAAAAAGATATATACAAAAAATTAAGAAGAAAAGCAGGTATATATGTTTTTATTAATAATAAAACTAATCAATTATATGTGGGTAGCAGTATTAATTTAACTAAAAGAATGGTAAGTTATTATTATTATTATAATTCAGATAGACCATCTCAATTAGCTATAATTAGAGCAATGAAAAAATATGGATTGGATAATTTTTCTTTAGGTATTAAAGAATTTTGTGATGGGGATCCTAAAATTTGTATAGATTTAGAACAAAAATGAATAGATTATTACAAACCAAAATATAATGTTTTAACTACTGCAGGTAATTCATTCGGTTATAAGCATAGTATTGAAACCATTAATAAATTAAAAGAAATTTTTTAAGAAAGAAAATCATCCTAAATTCGGTAGTATTACATCTGTTGAAACAAAACAGGCTATTATTGAAGGAATAAAATTATATTATTCAAAGAATAGTCATCCTAGTAAAGGATTAAAAGGTAAATTATCTCCACAATATGGTATTGGAGGTAAATTCGTATTTTGTTATAGTAAAACAGATAAAGAATTAATTTTTCCATCTATCAATGCTGCTAAACAACATTTTAAAGTTAGATGAACTTTTATAAAAAAGAATCTTGATACAGAAGAATGAGTAAATATTCATGGTGAAGAATGATTATTACAATCTACACCTAGACAAAAAGAGTAAGATTAGCCCCTCCCAATCCTTTTATGTGCTGGAAACTCTCATAAAGCTTAAGTACTATAATTCGCGACCCCCCTCATCCACTTACGAAGAGTGGATGAGGGGCAGCCTTAGTAAAAATCTTAAGTGTATCTAGATAATCAGCAGGAAACCAATGGGTATTTAATACCTTAAGTAGGATCCTCAGAGACTAAAGAAGGAAATTATTTAATATATTTCGCATTAAATAATTAAGATATAGTCCACACATGTAATCTAACATTCTTCCCTCGAAAGTTGGGGGCCTACAATAGAAATTGTGTAGTGCAAAAGGGAGATATAATATATTAAACTTCCTGAAAAACTTGGTAAATTGCTGGAAAGACGTCTAATCCCACTCGTCCCCCCTCCAGCTTCGCTCTGGAGGGGGTAGCGAGTGTTACGTACAATCAGCAGGTGGTAATTTTTCCTCATCCGGAGGATGAGAGTAAAGCCACTTCAACGACTAGAGACCAAGTATCCTAACCTAAATAATTAAGGTTTTATTTAGGAAGGGTAATGATATAGTCTAAATTATTAGTGACGAATAAGCATTGATAATTTATCTAACCTAGATTCACCCAAAAAATTTTCATCTAGTTCTTATAACTTGAGTCTTAATGTACAAAATTTGACTACTATAATATCAAAACGGTTTTTCTCTACTAGTCCCTTTGACAAAGTCGCAACCCCCCCCTTCGGGGGGGGGATGTTTGAAGTTGGTAATCTTGGTAATAATGAATCGGGGGACCCCGCCCGCCGGGGGCCCATTAAATTTGATTCTCTTGAACAAGCATGTGAACTAATTAAGTTCAAATACATAGGAGTTTCAGGTGTATATATACTAAGATCTAAAAAAGATCTTGAGCGTTTTTATATAGGTAGTTCTAATAACTTAGCTAGAAGAATGGAGGAGTATAATAAATTAACTAAAGGTTTACGTAATCCCCATTCAGCTTCTGAATTGGAAATTTCCCAAATTTCAGCTTTAGATTGATACTTAGAGTTTATATATATTACTACTCCTCAAACTTCTCGCAACCCCCCCCTTCGGGGGGGGGAAGTTCTTGAACAATATGCTATTCTTAAACTTAAACCAACTATTAATATTAATTATAATGTTGTTCCAAGGGTAAACTGGGGTAATTTAGATAATGCTATCTTAACGATTGAAAGTTTATTATCATTATTCCCTAAAGGTTCAGAAGGTTATAATAGATTAGCTGTCTTCCTTAAAACATATAAAACAGCTAATTCTTTAAGTTATACACCTGAAGACTTAGATAATAAATCTTATTGTTTTTTAGTGTTTGTGTATGATGTTAATTCACCTAATAAAGATCCTATTGTTTATTCTTCGATAAACAGGGCTTTAAAAGGATTACAAATTAGTCATAGTACGTTATTAAATTATATTAACAATAAATATCTTTATAAATCAAGTCTTATATTATCTTTTGAACCTTTACTTGTAAATAATTTTTCTGAATATCAAGAAAAACTTACAGGAGATAATCAACTTAGAAAACACATTGTTGTTTATAATCAAGATAATGAGATAGTAATAGAATTTAAATCTGGTAGAGAAATGGCTAACTATTTTAAAATTGATGGTAAAGTAGCTAGAGCTGCTATAGCTAAAGGTGAGTATAAAGACTTTTTACTAATATTTAAAGAAGTATCCAATCGTAAAACAATTTATGTATTTGATAGTAATTCATATGAATTACTAGATGAATTAAAAAGTCTAACTAAAGCTTTGAAATATGCTAAAGTTAATTATTATACATTAAAAAAGTTTAATCGAGAATGGTAATTCTTATGATGGTAAAATATACAGTTATAAAGATAAATTATAGTTTTACAGTGCGTACGTGGCTAGATATAAAGCAACATTTCCTAGGTTTACAAGGTATGCCAAGAAGAATAAGTGATTACCCTGACGCATTTTCAGGTTGAAATTTAATAAGTAGTTTTGGGTCAATCGTAAGTGTAGTAGCTTCTTGATTATTCTTATATATTGTGTATATACAACTAGTTCAAGGAGAATACGCAGGTAGATATCCATGATCAATCCCACAATTCTATACTGATAGTTTACGTGCTCTTTTAAATAGAAGTTATCCTAGTTTAGAATGATCTGTAAGTAGCCCACCTAAACCTCATGCGTTCGTGAGTCTTCCATTACAATCTTCTTCTCTTTTTTTTTTAATTGGTTTTCTAAAAATTCTAGTGGTGGTAGGCAATTGTTTTAATAAAAAATTAAATTTTATTTAACTTTTAACTTTAACCCAATTTTTGAACCAACTCAAAAACTAACATTAACACCACCAAAACCTCACCTTTTTGTGACCTCAAATTTACAAGCATCGCTACCCCCCCCTTCGGGGGGGGGAATTTGGAAATGACAATGACCTTCTCCGTCTCGTAGTATTGAAATATATAAAACCATCAAAAATAATATGATTAAGAAGATAAAAATCTTTTCGATGCTAACCTTTCGTGATTCCACTCTACAGGGAAACAATATATTTAGATCTATGACTTATAGATCTTTAGGTCAGTTTATGGATACGGAAAGCCAGAAAAATTTAAGTGAGATCTTAGATAAACTCGAGGAATCCAGGATTTTACTTGACACAGAAGGTCAAAAACATCAAAATATATATAAGAGTAATAGTCAGCAAAATACTGATTATAATTTTAAAGCTGATCTGAAAAAATATCTCGAATTACAAAATAAAGTTCAAACTAGTCAACAGAAAAACTTTGGAATAGCGGAATCTATTATAAATAAAAGTATCCAGCGTGAGTATAAATGTAAAGAACTTAAAGATTACCTCAAGGAAGAATTTCCAAGTATTAATAGAGATTTCCAAGACCAAGAAGGTATATTAAAGCAATACTTATTAGATGCATTTAATCAGGCTAAAACTCAAAATTAGATCGAAAAATTCCTTCCTTCCCCCCTGCAGTACTGCAGGGCGGGGGTAAAATAACCTAGCCGCATTAAATCAAATCCAATCCCATCCCATCCCCCTTATTACCTTACCTGGGATAATTGCATACTGTGAAATTTAAACTTATATAGTAGACAATACGCCTAACTGGTAGTAAAATAACAAACAAAAATTTGGGGGTAAAAAATAACAGTACGCCCCCCCTGCCCAGCCAGGAGACACTAGGAACGTATGGAAAACCTAGAAACGTAGTAATATGAACACAATCTATATGGGGTAAGCTTGCGCCCCTCACCTTAAATATTTAGTCTATATACCCGACTTAAGAAAGCTTATTTTTTTAATATAGGGCTAGACTTAAGTAAGGCTTGGTTTTTATGCCTTACTTTTTAGGAGAAATGGAATATACGGGGTAGCTTAAATTTTAAGCTTAATCAACCTAGTATGTAAACATATACTACTACGGGTATAAACTCTTCCCCCCTCGTATCCCCCCCTTTAATCCCCTTTAATCCCCTTCCCCCCTGCAGTACTGCAGGGCGGGGGAGGGGGATAAGGGGGGGGGGGATTAGGGATAAGAGTATTATACATTTCTCATTAGCTCAAAGGTAGAGCAGAATACTTCTAATATTCAGATTTTTAGTTCGAAATCTAAAATGAGAATTAAGGAATGAATCATTAGATAGTAAAGTCAATGATTCTTTACGAATACTACTTTAAATTTTAAAGTTTTAATATTTTATATTTTGGCACACACAAATTTTTTGGCCTAGATTGCTTAATAATAAATCAATTCCAATTATTAAAAGATTCGAGGGCCGTGGGGGCCTTGAATCCAACCCCCCCCGGAGGGGGGGTCGATTCTTCATCTAGATCTTCTTCTTCTGCTTCTTCATCATTTAATCTAATTTTTTATGTTTTATTCCCTAACAATAATCTCGATTTTAGAAGTTCTTTTGGTATTAGTTCCCTCTTTATTAGCAGTAGCTTATGTGACAGTAGCGGAAAGAAAAACTATGGCAAGTATGCAAAGAAGATTGGGTCCGAATGCCGTAGGTTACCTAGGACTTTTGCAAGCATTTGCTGATGCTTTGAAACTTTTACTAAAAGAATATGTAGCACTTACACAAGCTAATATGACATTATTCTTTTTAGGTCCTGTTATTACATTAATTTTTTCTCTTTTAGGTTACGCAGTAATACCTTAGTGTCTATAGGGTTAAATTGTCAAACTCCGGGGAAGTCCTAAAGCTTAAGGTACCAAGCTATAGTTGAAAAACTATAAGTGGCTGAAGTAATTACTCAGGTAAGGTAACAAGCCTTAAGATGCGTGAAAACAAAATGGAATATCGCGGATCTAAGTCAGTAGTATGTAATAATATTACTGTAAAAGAGCAACGAGTAGACGGCAGTTAGCACTTTTAAAGTGTTTAAGGTGTACTCTAATAGAACTTCGAAAGAAGTTTTTCAGTAAATTGTATATTAAACAATATAAAACTAATAAACAACAATCTTTGTTAAAATTACGATGCAATCGGAATTTTAATTATTATTCTGCACTAAATTCGGGGGACCCCACGAATACTTCGTATTCGTGGGGGCCCAAGCCATTAACTCCTCAGGCGATTTCTTGAAGTCACTGCCTTAGGTCAAAATTACTATTTTCAACTTTTAATGTAAGTCGCAGTTATGTTACTACTACGGCTTGTGATGTACAAAAATCTTTAAATTTAACTCTTAATCCTTGATTTATTACAGGTTTCACTGACGCTGAAGGTTGTTTTACAGCTAGTATATTAAAACGACCTAATCGTAGTACAGGTTGATTAATTCAACTTACTTTTCAAATTAAGCTTCATATTTCCCCCCTCCAGCGAAGCTGGAGGGGGTAGCGAGATTTAATTATTTTAAAAAACATTCAAGCCAACTTAGGGGGTACTCTTAGTATTGATAAAAATTATTGTGTTCTTAGAGTTAGAAATTTAACTCAATTAGCTGAAGTTATTAAATTTTTTGATAAATACCCCCTTATTACTCAAAAAAAAGCGGATTATTTACTATTTAAAGAAATTTTTAAAATCATGGAGTTAAAAGAACATTTAACTCCTGAAGGATTACAGAAAATCGTTAATCTTAGAACTTCTTTAAATTTAGGTTTATCCGAAGATTTAAAAATAGCTTTCCCTAATACTATACTAGTTCCTCGTCCTTTAGTTCAAGAAAAAATTTTCATACCTCATTCGGGGGACCCCACAACATAGTTGTGGGGGCCCCAATGATTAGCAGGATTTGCTACAGGGGAAGGTATGTTTTCAGTTGGTTTACATAAAGGTAAATTTAAATATTTATTATTTAAACTTACTCAACATATAAGGGATGAACAGTTAATGAGAAGTATAGAAGAATATTTAAATTGTGGGTATTGTTATTTAAGAAAAGGAGAAAATCTAATCCCGGAGGGATTCCTGTAGGAATCCTGACGGATTCCCCCAGGGAATAGACTTTAAAGTTACAAAATTTTCAGCTATTGAAGAAATAATTATCCCTTTCTTTTTAAAAAACCCTATATTAGGTGAAAAAGCTTTAGATTTTAAAGATTGATGTAACATAGCTGAAAAAGTGAAAAAAGGAGAAAACCTTTCTGAGGATGGTGCAATTGAAATTCAAAATATCAAATATGGAATGAATAAAGGAAGAAAAATTTGTTTAATTAGTATTTAATTGCGTAATATAATTTTTCTAAATGTATGGACCGTCATTGGTTATTCAGGATGTGAATTTAGGTATATTATATATGTTGGCTGTTTCTTCTCTAGCGACCTACGGAATACTTTTAGCTGGATGAAGTGCTAATAGTAAATATGCTTTCTTAGGGTCATTAAGAAGTGCAGCCCAATTAATTAGTTATGAGTTAGTTTTAAGTTCTGCGATAATTTTAGTTATTATGTTAACTGGAAGTTTTAATCTTGGTGTGAATACTGAATCTCAAAGGGCTGTTTTATTTGTATTACCTTTATTGCCTCTATTTATTATATTTTTTATTGGATCTATAGCGGAGACTAACAGGGCTCCCTTCGATCTCGCCGAGGCTATGACACTAACAAATATTTAGTAAAAAAAAATAAATTAAACCCTAATTGAATTACAGGTTTTACAGATGCAGAAGGTAGTTTTATAGTGAAAATATTTAAAGATACTGGTTATAAGTTAGGATGAAGAATTCAACTTTCATTTCAAATAAAATTAAACAGTAGAGATCATTACTTATTAACTCGCTACCCCCTCCAGCTGCGCTGGAGGGGGGATATTAGAGATTATTTTGGCGTAGGTACGGTACGTAAAGATAAAAATAATAATTCAGTATATTCTGTGACAAAAGTTGAGGAACTGACTTCAGTCATTTTCCCTCATTTTGATAGATATCCTTTATTAACTAAAAAATGAGCTGATTATCAATTATTTAGAGCTATTGTTTTTATTATTACGGATAAAAAACATAAAACTGAAGAAGGATTTTGAAAAATATTAGGACTTAGATATAATCTTAATTGGGGTATTTCTGAAGAGTTAAAATTGGCCTTTCCTAATATTACACCTGTGGATAGACCCCCCGTTCCCTTTACTTATATAAATAAAGATTGATTGGTGGGATTTATCGATG